GTTCCTTGGAAGGAGGGATCTGATCTTCCTCGAACTGCCTGGAGAGCGCATCAGCTTTAGAATTCTTTGATCCAGGACGATAGGTTACCTTGAAATTGAAACGTGTGAAGAAGAGAGACCATCTAGCCTGCCGTGGATTGAGTCGTTTGGCCGCTCTGAGGTACTCGAGGTTGCGATGATACGTCAGAAAAACAAAGGGAAGTTTGGCCCCCTCCAACCAGTGACGCCATTCCTCCAAGGTTGCCTTTATGGCTAGAAGTTCTCGATCTCCCACATCATAGTTTTGTGCCGTCGAGTTGCGTTTCCGAGAGTAGTAGGCACAGGGAAAGAGTTTGGAAGGATTACCCTGCCGCTGAGAGAGTATAGCTCCGATGCCAGTGTTGGAAGCATCCACCTCCACGAAGAACTCCACCTCAGGGTCAGGATGGTGAAGAATGGGCGTGGAGGTGAAGCGTTCCTTTAGTCGCTGAAAAGCCCCAGTGGCTGATGGTGACCAAAGAAGCCTACGCTTCCCTCCCCTTAGCATGGAGGTGAGAGGTGCTGGAATGGTGCTGAAGTCCCGAATGAAACGTTTATAGAAGTTTGCAAAGCCCAAGAAGCGCTGCAGTTCCTTTCCGTCGTCGGTTGAGGCCAGTTGAGCACAGACTGTACCTTCCTGTCATCCATAGCTACCCCCTCAGCACTAATGATGTAACCAAGAAAAGAGGTAACTGTCTGGTGGAACTCACATTTCTCCCTCTTGGCATATAGCTGGTTGTCAATAAGCCTCTTAAGTACAGCCCGCACGTGCTGCACATGTGAGTCCAGGGTATCCGAATAGATCAAGATATCATCTATATAGACTATGACCCCCCGATTCAGCATGTCCCGGAAAACATCGTTGATGAAAGCTTGGAAGACTGAAGGACTGTTTACCAGGCCGAACGGCATGACGAGGTATTCATAGTGCCCTGATGTTGTTGAGAAAGCCGTCTTCCACTCGTCTCCTTCCCGAATGCGAATAAGATTGTAGGCACTGTGAAGGTCGAGCTTGGTGAAATATTTAGCAGTGCGGAGTTGTTCTAGAGCTGCTGGAACTAGAGGTAGAGGGTACCGGAATTTGACTGTCATCTCATTTAGACTGCAATAATCGATGCATGGCCGGAGACCTCCCTCTTTCTTCTTGACAAAGAAGAAACTAGCTGACGCAGGTGAGGTGGATGGTCTAATGAACTCCTTTGACAGCTCCTCCTCAATATACACCTTCATGGCCTCGGACTCTGGCTGTGATAGTGGGAAAGCTCTGCCTCTAATGGGGTTTGATCCTGGAAGAAGATCGATAGCACAGTCACTGAGTCGGTGAGGAGGAAGTTGCGAGGCTTTGGTCTTACTTAGATGTTGTTCTATATTAGATGTTGTACTAATGTCTTTTTTATTTATTTAATAGTTTAAATATTTATTTATTTTTGTGGCTCTTAAAAGTGTTAAAATGCTTTTTTTTCTTATCATCTGGCTTAATGTCACAGCTCAGGAGCCATGTCAACATTTTATAGTGCTACAATAGAGATTGTTTCGAAGCAGCTCTATCTGAGGCAAATCAAAATTCTTCTATAAAGCAGCTCTAAGACAACAGTGTCATTATTCAATTCCAGTCAATGTTGATACAGTTCAATAGCTGTTTAAAGTTCATAACTTATAAAACAATTTCAATTCAGCTATACAGTTCGGTGTTGATTCAGTTCAGTTCAATAACTTAATGTTGCAAAATCCATCAGTTATGAACAATAGTCGCTAGCAAAAGCCTTGTGGTGTTTTTGCAATCAGCCAGTCACAGTTGTCAGGTTGTTGTAGCTCCCAATTAATTCGTCACATGACATGTATGGCGACGATTAGCCAATCAGAGCTGCCAATTTCAGCTACTTCAGTGTGCACTGCAGTATACATCAGATGGCCATTGAACTGTGGGTGGCCTGTGGGTGCATCGTCTGAGAATAGGTTTGATAGATCCATGTGATGCTTTCTGTCATCTTGTCAAACCCACGTGCGGGACCTAAACTCAGACGGTGCGACTGCGGCTACAAGCAGGCATCAGCCAGTACAGTCAAACCGGCGCATAATCCGGCAGAGTGCCGCATGCAGCTCTCACCCAGTCCTCATTAACCTGCCGTATCCTCAACTCAGACCTGTGTGGATGACATCCTTTGGGGAGCCAGGAGTGTGTGCTCATTAGACAAGCCCACACACACTGCCTACCTCGGGTCAAGAGCATCTATTGTAGCCACCCTCTCCGTTCCCCTGGCTGATTGATGCCATTAAGATGTCACAGCGTCTCCACTTTAGTGATGACGAGTAGGCCAGGTGAAAGGAGAAGAGCACAGGACAGCCACGCTAAGAAGGCCACCGATTTAAAAAAATGTTTTTTCAAGTAGACTAATTTTCATGTCTGAAAAACATTAGGTTTACTCTCCTCAAATTTTTCTATAGCTTATAGGCCTGCTGGAAATGTAGGCCTAGTAATAAGAAAATTAGGCCTACTGTATGCGGGGAAAAATGCATTATGAGATGGATCAAATTAAATGAGCCCTTGAAAGTGATCTTTTACATACAATGCTCTTATCATGTTGGTTTGAACTGTGCTTTGCGCTGTTGGCATTTTCTTTGTTTTGGCTCCATGCAGTGGTTTTTCTAAAGGGTCAATGCCATTCTGTGCCCTTTCCAGTTTACAGTCTGATTATGTCACATCAGCTTGTGAAAGCCCACTGATGTCAGCGGTGCGGTAGCAAAACAGCTCGCTTCTCTGAAATGTTTTAATTGTGTACTCTAAATGAACATTGTTGCTAGGCACTCGAGTAACCTTGTCCCATTTGATCTCTTTTATAATCTGATAAATCATGGGTTTTACAAACAAAAATATATATTTTTTTTCCTTTCACTTTTTTTTACACATAGCTGGAGTTCTTAAGTTCACCATGCAAAAATGACCTGTGTCAGCAGTTGTTTATTTTACTCATAAAACAATAATTCAGTTCGTATATGCTTTAATGTTAGTATCACACAGATTTGTCAAAATAAAGTAAATAAAACAAGGATTTTTGGAGTATGTTTTACAAGAAAAAAGTATTTCCATTTTTTTACTTCAAAAATGTTAAGTTTAATTCAATGTGTTACTGGTAACAGTTTGTACAATTTTCTAGAATTTTTTTTTAAACCAGACTTTTTTCAATACAAATAGACTGCGTACATATCAACTAAGGTGTGAGTGCGTGGGCTGGCCTGTTCAATATTCAAATACCTTTTTTACACATTTATGGCCTTATAAAATGTTTCAAAGTGGACCGATCTGATAAACCGACCACCTGACTAGCAAAATATAAGGGCAGGGGACAATCTTATCTGAGTTATGTTTTCTTTTGTGACCTTGGAAACCATTTGATTAGGGGCACTTGAAACGTTTGCGGCAAAATCATTTCTCGTTTTCCAACTAAACATGGCGTGGTTTTATAGGTTTACCCTGATCTGATCAGCTGGGATCCCAGCAGCCCTCACACGCCATTGGTGGTGTGGTGAGATCACAGTACTGTACACAGAATAGCCTAGAAACTTCAACATCTCATGTTATACAAGTATTTCTTTACCATTGAAGGCCTCAGCTGGTGTTTAGAAATCATTCTTGCTGACTGTAGGCAGAGAATAAAACCATGGCCAACATGGCAGGTGTGATGTTGGCAGTGATTTATTTATTTATTATATCTTTCATTTTGCATCTTCACACATTTTGCTCAGTATGTGATTGTAAGACGATTTTGCTTTTGTGTCACAGGTAATATAACATTATTTAATTCGAGGAGGAATAACTTATTGTACAGATTTTTTCGTGTTTTCCGGTAATGAAATGACTTCTGCTAATGGTACATTTTTACATGATGCAATAAATGCAAATAAACCCGCTTCTGACTATGATAAGCACTTTTTTAAATAAATTATTAGCTGAAACAATGAGGCTGTTTTTTCCCCATTTTTGCAATTAGATGATGTTTGACCAATATTCTGCTTTTTTTTTCTTTTAATCTTGTCTCATGTTGATGGTATCTGTACTACAGATGACAATGTTCCATTAACCATTATCTTATCTTCTCAAATTAGGTCAGGAAGCCATTGTCTTATATAGCTACAATTGTGGGAATAAAGTATTTAGAGCCTTTGGAATTCTTTGATGAACCATTGGTTTAAATAAAGTTGTTGATTAAAAAAATATCAAATCACCTATTAAAATAATATAATTGGTGTCAGTTCAGGTATGAACAAATAAAAAAAAATAAGGTGTCAGTTTTACAGAACAGATCCATATTGATCTATCTGAAACGTACAGTACTGACAAACTTTGCTTTGAACATGCTGAATTCCTTCGGAAACTGCAACGAATATGGGCAACATGATATAATATCACCCTCTAAACAACAAACAATAATGTATATATTATTATTTACCTTTAAAATGTCTGTTTTTTGTTTTCCTGTGGTGGCAAAGCTAAATTTTCAGCAGCAATACTCTAGTCTTCAGTGTCACATGATCCGTCAGAAATCATTCTTATATGTTGATTTGGTGCTCCAGAAACATTTCTTATTATTATCAATGTTAAAAAAGCTGCTTAGTATTAGGAAACTGATTATTTTCCCCCCAGGATTATTTGATGAATGGAAAGTTCGAAAGAAAAGCATTTTTTGAAATGTAAAACTTTTGCTCAATTTAATGCATCTTTGCTGAATAAAAGTATTATTTTCTTTTACAAAAACGAAAATCTTACTGACCCCAAAGTTATGAACTGTAGCATGTATTTATAAAATAACAGCATTGCAAATCCTGTTGCTTCAAAACTTGTACTCTTTGTATTGAGCCAAGAGATGTTATGTTTATATGCTCTGTTTGTCAAATGTATTTTCATTAGGTCAGAGATCACCGAACTTGAACTTTGGTACACAGTGCAAGATGAAACTTCTTCATGTGCTTGCATTTCCGCTCTCCCACATTTGCACGTGTATTGTAAGTGCACTGAGCTCAAAGTCTGCCGTGACCGCACCTTAAGCCTTCTGCTCATTAGCTGGATGCTAGCTGCTTCTCAAGGAAGATGTGCTTATTTTGACAGTCTGGCAGCCTGAAATGAGTGGAATCACTTTGTTCTGTTATAGCAGTATTTTCGTTTACCAGATATGGTTCCAGAGACCACAGTGGTTATTAAATCTTATATTCTGTTTAAAGCCTTTAACTGAGTGCACTGAACTGCGTTCAGCCTTTCAATTAATTTGTGCGCTGTTTAGCAGTGACCCAATAATAAATTACAAAATGTGACCTGACCCTGTATTATCTTTTTGCCTTTGTATTGAAAGATAAAATGTGTATAATAATGTGTTTCATGACTCACATGAAAGTTGTTTTCTGTCATCGATTCTGTGGTCTGCACACCCAATGTTCTCCCCTCTGCATGTGTTTAGCATGCCGTGTCTTGGGGAAAAAGCCACCACAACTATGTCATGCAGACATTTATTTTTGCCTTGTAAAACTACCCAAATGTTGTGGCATTTTTGAAAATAGTTTGTACCGTTTGTGATACAAAAACCGGCCTGAGGAAGGAGCTTATACTAGGCAATACGAGACCTTTACGGAGGGCGTACAATGAGGCAGTTGAAATGTTTTAATTGACGTGAAAAAAGGCTTGATAACGCTAGACGTCACTCAACCCACACTAAAGCAAACAGATCTGAACTTGTCAAAGGCCTTTGACGTCCCTCTTGCAGCGTAGGTCATATTATCTTCAGCTCGGATGGACTGTGGTTGAACCGCTATGAAGAAACGTTCCCTCCCTCTTTCATTTGACCGTCTCTCTCTCTCACACGCCACCTCGTTTTGCTTCCTTATTCGTGGTGTGCTAAACCTCACTATTATTCAGCAGATCCACACAACTCTGTGTTGTTTGTTCATTGCTGTTGGTTATGGAAGCCTATGACGCTGCTGAGAGAGACTTTTGTCATGTGAGAGTGCTAGTCTAGTCTCTGTGTGGTGTCCCCCCTGCCCCTTCAAATAAACAAACACACAGGCTGATTTGCTGACCTCTAGGTTAGTGACAAATGTACGTCATACATCACCGTCACCTTTGAAACTACCAAAGTTTCATCAATCCATCAAAGACCAAAACGCGTGGGTTTAGATTTGGCCTCTAGCCTTTGGCACAAACTTTGAGCTTATTTGTTTATTTGTGAGTGCGTCATATATAT